CTGGATGAGACATAGTGCTGATGGTATACGATTATCTCTGAATTTGACCAAAAGTTTTTAATCCATCAGCTCATGGACTGTGGATAGGCAAATATTTATCGCCCATCCCTAATTTCCCTTGAGAAAGTGCTGGTGATCTGGCTTCTTGAACCACTGCAGTCTGTGTGGTGTAGGTGGACCTGCAGTGCTGTTAGGGAGGCACTTTTTGACCTAATGGCAGTAAAGGAATCACAATACAGTCCCATGTCAGTATGGCATATAGCTTGGAAATAAACTTGTAGGTCATGGTATTCCCATGAATCTGCTGCTGTTGTCCTTCTAAGTGGTAGACGGTGCAAGTTTGGAAGGTGTTGTTAGAGAAGCCTTGGTGAGTTGTCGCGATGCATCTTGTAAATAATACACACTGGTGCTGCTGTGTATCCCTGTCTAAGGGATTGAATGTTGAAGGTGGTGGATAGGGTGCCATTCAAGTGGGTTGCTATTTTCTGGCTGATATTGAGCATTTTGCGTATTATTGAAGCGGAATCCATCCAGGCAAATAGGGAGTATTCCATCACCTTCCTGACTTCTGCCTTGTGGACAGTGGACAGGCTTTAGGGAGTCAGGAAGTGAGTTACACTCTGCACGAGTTCCCAATCTTTGACCTGCTATTGTAGCTACACTATTTATATGGCCAGTCCAGTCAGTTTTTGGTCAATGGTAACCCCCAGATGTCGATAGTGGAAGATTCAGCAATGATATTGTTACTGGATGTCAAGGGGGAAATGTTGGATTTGGTCACTGACTGGCATTTGGATGGCACATATATTATTTGCCGCTGACCAGCCCATACCTGAATGTTGTCCACATTATGCTGCATATCAACACAGACCTCTGAAGTATCTGAGAAATCGTGAAGTATGCTGAACATTTGTGCAATCACCAACAAACATCTTCCCTCTGGCACTTTGATGTATGGGACGTCATTGATGAAGTAGCTGAAGATGGTTCAGCCTAGGACACTGAATGATAAAAGCTCTTGTGGTGCAGTGGTAGTGTCCCTATTTCTGAGTTTGGAGACCCAGGTTCAAGTCCACCTACTCCAGAGATGTTTGATAACATCTCTTAACAGGTTGATTAGAAAATATCTATCCTGAACAACATCCTGTTACTGAAATAATTGGCTTCCCTTAACAGCAACTATCTGCTTTTATGATTCCAAACAGCAGAGAGATTTCCTTCAACTCCCATTGACTTAACATTTCCTGAGGCTTCTAATGTGCAGACAGTCAAAGGCTGTCTTGATGTTGGGGACAGTCACTCTCACACCACCTCAAGCATTTCTGTTGGTTTGTATTTATTTAGCTATGAGCTTACTTTTTCAATAAACAAAACGTCAATTTGCAATATTATATGCGACTATGTATTAACCCCTTCAGCACAAAAAGTGCCATAGAAAATCACAAAAGCTTGGAATTTGTATTTCAACTGTTTCTGGGCTGGAAGCTTGCTTGCTTTGACCTTCAGCCTGAGTTTTCATGTATCCTGGCTGGTGGGATGCAGTCGAATTAGACAAAGGGCTGGAGATGGCCCATACCTCATCCAGTCGCCAAATGAATAGGTCAGATCAGCATTAAAGTGACTCTGCACCTGGTTGATTTGCCAGAACTGTCCAGGGTGGGTACCTGAAGCATGGGCAGACTGGTGAGGTGCCAGAGGACTTAGGGAAAGATGTAGACCCAGGGGAGGAAACTGGGGGAAAGGATGTTGGAGAAATAAGGAAGTAGCAATAAAAGAACTGTGAGAGTCTGATGCAAGATTTAAATTCAAAATGACATTGTTTAAAAAGCATTGTTTCTGAAGTGAAGGGTGTTTAATTTCAGTGATTAAATGCCACTTTATCCTGCTATGATTGAGATGCATTGGATATCATTTAATTGATAATTACTTGATATTGGAAAGTTTTTGCTACCCTATTTGCATTATTGAATCAGTCAGTTTCAGCCATGAAAGCTTAATAATATCCATGGGGTCATTGCCATCTGTCTTGATAGCAAGTTGGCTCAATGGGCAACACAAAAATAATTGATGATTGGGTTCATTGATCACAAAAAAATGAATCTATTTGCCCATGGTTCAACCGAATCAAAATTGGAGTGATTTCATTTCAGGCACCTGCTTTGTCCGACATCTGATCATTGTACACTCAATTTATAGTGCTGCTGCATTGTGGTATTTGTGCCAAGGTGATACACTTTACACATCTGTACCGTCAATAAAACTGAGCAAAGACACTCCCAAGTTGATGGGCATCATATAGGCAGTAGCATTAGAACACATACTTATAGATTTTTCAGCCTTCGTTTTCTCAGATGTTAAGTTTATGTGGACATCCTTTATGATATCATTGTAGTGCAGTCAGCCTGCTTATTTCAGTTTAGTGACTGTTAAACCAATGCACCTAGGAAATTGGTTCAAACGATTAATCAGTATACAACCAGAATAGCCAAATATCCAACTTTGCTGATCATCTTAGTTTCATCATCAAGTGGGATTTTGATTGTTTGGTTGCCTTACATTTTAATTCTCCATTCTACACTGACTTTTGCCTCCTACCTCATTCCAACGAAGCTTGATGTAAGCTTAAGGAGTAGCACCAAAACTGTCTTGTGGGTTGGAGCCTTCCAGCCTCACTTCACGATCTTAAACCGCAGCTCCTATTTACTGTTGAACAACATTCTTGACTAATGGGGTAGGATGGGTGTACAAGGAAATGGTCAATGGCTGATAGGGTGATCCATGGACCAGTTATCACCTTCCTTTTCCTTCCTCCACACATTGGAGCCTTGTCCACCTCGTCAAATTTTCCAGATTGCTCTCTCTCTCTGCTTGGCTGCAAACCATTCACATAACCTCTGGGTTGCACTATTTCCATATTCAGGTTCTATCGCTATTTTCTCAATTTTCTGACACTGCCATCACCTATATTATTCAGTCACCTATCCTCTACCCAATTAGAGACCATTGCCTTCTTTCTTTTTCTGTCCCCTGTCGCTGCTTGAAATTCATCTGTAACATCTTGTGCTCAAGACATAAGATCATAAATGTCAAGGGTCAACCCTGTTCCTCCTCCTCTCCATGGATATTGGCTCAACTGCTGAGTGTTTCTGGAACTTCCAGTCTTCATTTCATTTCATACCAATGTGTGTTGAAAAAGATTTGACTGTGAATGAAGAGTTTGCAAAACAATTAACATTTAAGTAGCATTAGATGCCAGTGAGCACAGCTTGGGTTTCTGTTTGCATGTACAAACAGCCAGCTCTGTTTTTTTTGACCAGGGACCATGTGGGCAAAAAAGACATTGCATCTCACCGCTGCTACTCCCACTTTGCCACCACAGAGTTTAGTGCCACACTCTGTCATTAGGCAATGAATTATTTCATGTAGAGAGTGAAACAGGCTATCAATAATGAATGAACCGCTCTTCCGTTATACATAATACATTGCAAGATTGTTCTTAACTTAAGGTTTTTGAGGAAGCATCGAACTAATGTGAGCAGAATTATTCGTAGGTAAGCAGTTTGCAGGCCTGTATCTTTCCAAGATTAAACTGAGGTTAAACTCATCACGATGATTCCCTCATAGGATCAGTTAATACCTGTAATGTGCATCGCTAAACTGAAGCTCAGTGCTTGGCAGAGGCTGGCAGGCATTTTTCCTTAAACTATGTCCACAAGAAGTATCCATTTGTTTTGATTAATTTCATAAGATTGTTTACATCCATAAGACAATAAAACATCAGAGTAGAAGCAGTTTCCTGCCTTTTCCAAATAGTCCATGTTTCCCAAGCTGATTAAAAATCTGCATATCTTAGCCAATTCTCTATCTATGCTAACAGACCGTCTCCAAAACCATGGGCTCTTATGTTACTAACTTGCCTGATATTACATCTGGTAGTTCCCATTTATCTATCCTGCTTGTTACTTCCTCAAAGAAGCATAACAATTTTGTCAGGCATGATTTGCCCTTGACGAAACTTTGTGGACTCTGCTTGATTATTTTCTATGTTTCCAAATGCTACGCTACTACATCCTTTCCAATAGACTCTAACATTTTCCCAATGATAGATGTTATGTTTCCAATCATCTGGGCCATTCCCAGACTCTAAGGTTTCTTGGAAGATTACTATTAGTGCAACCACTGTCTTTGCAGCTACTTCCTTTAAAATCCTAGGATGCAACCCATCAGATTTAGCTCCAATAGTTTCCCTTGTACTTTTTTATCTCTAGCAATAGTTAAGTTTGTTTATTTCCTCCTTATCTTTAGCCTGTTGTTTATTGAATATTTTCAGGATGCTACTAGCATCTTCTACTGTGAAGACTGATACGAAGTTTTATTCAATTCATCTGCCAATTCCTGATTCCCCATTTTTATTTCCCCAGCCTCATTCTTTAAAGGACCTAAGTTTATTGTTGCTCTTTCTCTTCCATTTTAAAGTAACTCTTGCTGTTTTTTTCTTCATATTACTTGCGAGTTTTCTCACATAGTTTAATTTCTTCCTTGTATTTTGGTCATCTTTTAATGACTTTCCCAATCCCTCAATTTACCACTAACTTTTGTCATAGTATATGTTTTTTTAATTTAATTTGATACTGTCCTTAAACCCCCTGATTAACTCCCTGGCAAGCATTTTTCTTCCTCGCTGAAATATATAGTTTGTTGTGAGCTGTTTTTTTAAAACACCTGCCATTACTCATCATTGTATTTTCTGTTGAACTCATTTCCTAGGTCTGTCCAACCAACTTTTCCACCATAAACATCCCTAAAACAGCAGACAGGCACTTGGTATAATTTATCTTCCACCCTCTACTTAGCTAGCACATCAGCCATGGTTATGTGTTTGGGTATCTGGAGTGGGAGATGAACTTGTAACCTTCTGGTTCAGAGGTGAAGATGTTGCCAGCTATGCAATGGTTGGCATGAAGGACATATGGTGTGTGATATGGATCTGTAGCTCCTACCTGTTTTGCACCATACTCATAGCCATCCAGTCACTGGGGTAGACATTCTTCTCGATCAAATCCTTGAACAGGATAAAAGTTTCCATGAAGAAATCCTGAGGAAAAAAAGCATTAGTTAGAAATGACTGAGAAATTGACCCAGAAGCAACAGAAAGTACATATCATGTTCAATGTCATACCACCCGAAAATTTTGGTTCTTTGACAGACACTTAATGGCTGACAATTCACAAATGATCGTCACAGCACAATTAATAAAGGAAATTTACTCATTGCAAACACGAACAACAACAGAGATTGCTGGAAAAGCTCAGGAGGTCTGGCAGCATCTGTGGAGAGAAATCAGAGTTAAGGTTTCGGGTCGAGAGATCCTTCTTTAGAATCCTCATTTACTCGTTGCATTTTCTCTTGAAAGCATGGGATGTGAATCTTCATTTAAAAAGCACAATTATAATATCATACTCTAGAAGTTTACTTCAAAGGTGTTAAAATATATATTTTGAAGAACATTACATTCACTCTAAAATGTCATAATGGACAATAGGTTTGGCTATAGATAAGGAGAATCATCCTGCACATTTTACCCATTCCTCTGAAACTAATTCAAACATCAACTTTGGCTCAGAAACTGCACCTCGGACTTTCTACTTGCAAAACCACCCATGCACTTTTTTGCCTTAAGTTGCAAAGCATTAAAACACCAGCATTTGAAAACATCATTACCATCTTTCAGTTGCAATATTCACTGCATTTATTACTGTGACTTTTTCTGAGGAGCATCTCCAAACACTTCAGCCTCCATATGATGATCAGCCAATTTAAGATCAACATTTGGGAGATATAGAGCATTGAGTCGTGGAGATGTACAATACAGAAACAGATCCTTTGGTCCAACTTGTCCATGCTGACCAAATATCCTAAATTAATCTAGACCCATTGGCCAGCATTTGGCCCATTTCCTTCTAAACCCTTCCTATTCATATACCCATCCAGATGCCTTTTAAGTGTTGTAATTGTACCAGTCTCCACCATTTCCTCTGCAGCTTATTCCATATGTGTACCATCCTCTGTGTGAAAAATTTGCCCCTTAAGTCCCTTTTAAATCTTTCCCCTCTCACCTTAAACCTATGCCCTCTAGTTTTGGACTTCCAACCCGAGGGAAAAAATCTTGACTATTCACCCTATCCATGCCCCTCATGATTTTATAAATTTCTGTAAAGCCACCCCTCAGCTTCTGTTCTAGGGAAAATGGCCCCAGCCTGTTCAGCCTCTCCCTAAAGCTGAAACCCTCCAACTATAGCAATATCTTCCATCTCAACTGCACAATCTGAACATAATGGTGGAAAAAGGTGCAAATTTGTGAAAACGATGGAAATCCTGCTTTATTTGGAGTATCTACCACAGTTACAGTGATATATACATCATAGTACCTACTCAGTCCTCAAGGCCAAGCTTCAGATTAAAAAGGTACCAGGGTCAATTAGTGAAAAAAAAATGTGGTGAACTCCTCTGTGATCATTTTGGATGATTGTAACAAGGTGATCACCCTGGTCATGATTTACAAAATAATCAGTTTTCTGCCTTAATTGGAAAGGAAACCAACTCTCACTCAATGGTCTAAAAATAACGTTTCTTTCCTTTTTTGCAATGCTTCAGAGAATTAAATCTATGGCCCATTTTTTAATATATGACTGTTCAGATGCCTGCGAGGTGGACTTTCACAATTATATTTGATTTGATTCGATTTACTGTTGTTACTTGTACCTAGGTACAGTGAAAAGTATTGTTTTGAGTGCAGTACGGGCAGACCATACCATACAAAGTGCATTCAGGTAATAGAACAGAGCAAGGAATACAATGTTATGGCTGCAGAGAAGGTGCACAAAGAACGAGATCAACATTAAATTTAAAGTATAAGAGGTCCAATCAGAAGTCTAATAAAAGCAGAGAAGGATCTGTTTTGAATTTTGTTAGGACGTGTGTTTAAACTTTTGTATCTTCTGCCCAGTGTCAGGGGTTAGAAGAGATAGGAAACACACTTCGGAACAGCTCTTCAGCTGTGGAATGCATCACAGCTGATTCTGATCCTGTCATCCACAACCTTCAAGCAAGCAGGAGTGATCGGTTGTCGACTGAATTGGAACTTCATTTAGCTTTTTCTCTTTTCCTCGATGTACCCAAACTCCAAACCAATGATATTGCCCACACTGTCAGTCCATCTGGGAGAGCTGTGTTCCATCATATATTGGGCGGTGCTCTCCTCAGTTGTACAAACATATTTTTCATACCACAGCCCAGCTAAAAAACAAACCCTTTATTTTCCACCTGCTCATCGGATTCCTCTCAAGTTCTGCAACTATTCTTAATCTGCGGAAACGAGGAGTCAAGGAACCTGTAAACATGGGTTTTGGATTTGAAGAGACCACATTAGAACTGCTGACTGCCCTTGCTGACAGCAACACTGGTGACCACTGGTTCAGAACATCACTGATAAAATACGCAGAAAAATACAGCAAATTAATGTTTACACAGCTTCTTTTGTTCACTTTCTAACATAAGACATGATGCCTTAGTGTGGTAAAGGCACTATATAAATGCAAGTTGTTTTTTTTTCTGCCTGTTTTGTTTTCTCTAATCCCAATTGCCTGCTTTCCGCACTAAATTCAGTGCTGTCCTATTCTCCATCCAGAAGGCGTGTATCAGACATGAGGCTATTGAAAATCTGATTCAACTTTCCAGCTCAGGTTCTGACTAGGGGCATCGATGAAATGATTTTGTGCCTATCTCCCCCTTCAAAGCCCTATGTTGAATTTGTATCTGTGGCATGGTTGAGGCTTGATAGGTTGAACATTTTGCTTTGCTGTAGTGTCTTATTTGTTCAAAGCAATCTTTCCTGCATCAAAGAATTTTAAGAAATTTGCATATTTTTTAATAGATATTCAAGGAAGTATAAAAAATATTGACGTTTGCAAGCTGTGACAATAAAACATTTCCCCAGGGCCTTCAAATGGAATTGCACTGCCAGAAATCAAAACTCAATGTAATTATTGTATACCGTCTTTGCAAACGGCAAAATCAAAATAAAGAATGTGCATTTATATCATACTTTCCTCATTTTCAGGATACCTCACAAGCAATTAAATAATTGTAATGTTGCTTCCAAAAATTTACAAACCATATTGCGCATAAGTGATGTTGATTTACGGAGATGTAAATGTTGGCTGCCCTTCATTCGATTAATATCATAGGGTTTTTATATCCACCTGGTTAGGCAAACATTGGCTCAAGTTGCACAACATGGGTTGAAAGATGGCATCTCTGGCAATGCAGCACTTCCTCAGAATTGCACTGAAGTGTCAACTGAAACCAGGCATCATCAGATACTACTAAACTCAAGTACAGCCAACTAAACTAAGTGGATGAAAAAGTATGTACTTCAATAACAGTGCACAACCATTCACATAAGACGGATCCCTCTGCTCGGTCACAGACAATCAATATGAAGTGCTCACTTATGCAACACAATCCTTAGGTTAGTTTTCTCACTTGCACGTGGAGGTGTTGGAGTTGGGCAGGAGTGGACAAATTCAGAAGTCACACGACATCGGGTTACAGTCCAGCAGACTTATTTATTCACCTGAAGAAGGAGAAGCACTCGGAAAGCTTGTAGTTTTAAATAAATCCGCTGGGCAGTAACCTGGCGTCATTTGATTTTTGAATTTCTCACTCGCAGGGAATGAAGGTGGCCACTGGAATGTTGGCCTTTGTAGCGAGAGGATTCAAGCACAGAAGCTGGGATGTCTTGCTCCAATTGTACAGGGCCTTGGTGAGATCACACCTGAAGTATTACCTGCAGTTTTGGTCTCCTTATCTGAGAAAGGATACTCTGATTATGAAGGTTTGTCAGACTGAATCCTGGGATGGTAGGACGAGCATATGAAGACAACTGGATCAGTTCGGATTATATTCACGAGTGTTTGGAAAAATGAAAGGGGGCATTTCACAGAAATCTAACAGGACCAGATAGGGTAAGCACTGAAAGGATGTTCCAATCACCAAGCAATCTGGAACCTAGAGTTACAGTCTGAGGATACAGGGTAGTTCATTCAAGATTGAGATGAGGAGAAATTTTTTCACCCAGAGAGTGAGGAGCCTGCGGTACTGTCTGTCACAGAAAGTGGTTAAGGCTAAAGCATTGAATGTTATCAAGGGGGAGAATATAGTTATAGGGCTAAAGGGATCAATGGATAAGGGGAGAAAGCAGGAACAAGGGACTGAATTGAATGATCAGCCATGATCATATTGAATGATGGAGCTGGGTCAAAGAGTCAAATGGCCTCATCCTGTTCCTATTTTCTATCTGTCCATGAAATGATTGCATTAATGTTTGGTGGCAGTGATCGATGTAAATCAGATATTGGGATTTATTTAAACAGTCAGTCCTGAGCAGGGGGAAAAGAAAGTTGACATGATTCTGCCGCTTTATAAACAATTGCTTGACAACAATTCCCATACTATGCACAGTTCTGGCTTCCTCGATTTACAATAAGTGTTGCTGGGGACCATTGCCAGAGCAATTGAGGGTATGGGGAGATTGGATTGTGAAAAGTGATTATGTAAATTGGACATATTCTCAACAGAAAGAGAGGCCCAGAGGTGATATGATTGTTGTTTTTAGGATTCTAAAAGGAGTAGATAATGAAGAGCTTGACAGGCTATTTAATTTTGTTCAGAGCAGTGCAATCAAACAACATGATTGGCATTTGAAGACAAGTGAAAACTCAAAACTGACTTGCAGAAATAATGGCTAGGATTTGGGGTGGCACGGTGGCTCAGTGGTTAGCACTACTGTCTCACAGCACCAGGGAGCTGGGTTCAATTCCACCCTCAGGTGACTGTCTGTATGGACTTTGCATATTTTCCCTGTATCTGTGTGGGTTTCCTCCCACAGTCCAAAGATATGTAGGTTAGGTGGATTGGCTATGCCAAATTGCCTGTAGTGTTTAGGGGTCTGTACATTAGGTGGGTTATAGGGGGATGGGTCTGGGTGGGATGCTCCAAGGGTTGATGTGGACTTGTTGGGCTAATGGGCCTGTT